CATTTCGAAACTGATTCTTTGAAAATGCCAAAGTGCCACACTCCTTATTGGATAATGTCTATCTATCCTACTAAATTAAGATGATTTTTCCCCAATATAAAATACTCTTGGCTCCTATATACCAGTGGTTGCCATGCAAGATACGCCCACATTTTCCAAGAGATGGATAGAGAACAAGTTAAAAAAATGTGATTTTTCGTACAATAACGGGCCATAATCCAGGAAGTTATGGACTCAGATCTTCGGGATATAAACATATTTTAAGTTTCAACAGGTCCACAATGTTGATCGGGCAGTACCGATCTGATTTTAACTAAATTCGTATTCAACGTTTTTTGAAAATTGAATACAAATTGTGACTTCTAGCGGGCGCACAAGCTCAAAATGCGATTTTTCGAAAAATCAGGGGCCATAATCCAGCAAGTTACCTCGAATTTGCGCGATTATCGAAAGAAACCAAGACCGTTGTGATATAAACATAATTTTAAAGTTTCATCAAATTCGGATCAAAATTGTGGCCTCTAGAAGCTCAACAACCTTGACATACAATATTTTTACACTATTTGTCATTTTGTGAGGCAGTTTTGGTCCGATTTTCACGAAATTCGAAAGCGTTTTTCTTTTTTTTTTACTTTTTTTTACATCGGATTATAAGTGTGACCTGTAGAGGGACCACAAGCTAAAAACGCGATTTTTCGTACAATCAAGGGCCATAATTCAGGAAGTAATAATCCGATATGCGCGAATATCGACAGGGACGAAGATCTTTGGGTTATAAGCATGTATTTCAAATTTCGTCAAAATCGGATAAAAATTGTGACCTCTAGAGTGTCCACAAGCTAAAAACGTGATTTTTTGCGTACATTCAGGGGCTATAATCCATGAAGTTATGGTCCGATACATGCCAATTTCGAAAGGGACCGAGATCGTTGCGAGATACACCTGTATGTCAAGTTTCGTTAAAATCGGCTAAACATTGTGACCTGTAGAGTGTCCACAAACAAAATGTAGACGGACGGAGAGGGGCGACGACAATATACGTCCACATGAAAACGTGGGTGTTTAATAACTTCTCTAATTTACGCTGTGATATTAACGAAAGCCTCCATTAAGAAATAATAATAAACATATGATATTAAAATTTAATTTCAAATAGGCCTATAACATTTTCAATAAAGTCATTTGAGATTATTGATATATCTTTTTACAAATCATGATAACCACAAAACCATATGAGTAAATACTTTGCATATGGCATGCATAGTATTATAGTATGTATAGTTTTGTGAAACGCCATTTTTTTAAGTTAAGATAAAATTTTAACTTAAAATATTTTTTAGTGGATTTTATCTAAAATGCTTAAAATCGTTTTGTGGAACGCATCTATCTTAAGTTAGGATGGAATTTTAGTTTAAGACGATTTTAAGGAGAGTCAAAGTTTTATGAAACAGTGCCCCGGACCTCCTATAATTATCACTATAGTGAAACAGTACTAAACATCCCACAAAACATACTCTACCACCCTTTAAGATGTCTGTATTAATCTGACCGGTAAAATAGTTGTCAGCAACAATAAAATAAAAATCTAGACCAACCATTTCACAGTTTAAAAAGCATAGAAAGTAAATTACATTTTTAAAGGCAAAATATACATTTAACGTGCTTTTTGCTCACTTGGTTGTGTTCTTTGTTTAAAACTAATTACAAAATCTACTATTATTTTAGTTCACTGGGCTAAAATATCCCGGGATGGGCCTCCCGAGTTTTTAAACCCGTGTGTTTGGAAAGAAGAAAACTGTCGGATAGGACAAAAATAGATTAATCAATGCACATAAAAGAACCCTTGACAGTTCAACAAAGAATAGGTAGGAAACACGACTCGTTGCAAAATTCTATTTCCTACTATGGTAGTATGAAAAGAACCGAACTAACATATTGATACAACCTTAAACACCACGTCATTGAGATCTAAGTCATCCATTGGATACCTGTGTTTCAAATAAGCCGAAGGCACCACAAGATAACATTCACGGAACCCGATAACAAACATTTGCTAATGAAATTACGTCATTGGGTACTAACGATTTATTATTCATACATATCGAATCCAAAGGTTAAAGGTAACGAGTGGAGGAAAAAGTCGATGGGCGTCTATAATTAATATAGCTATGTTCATATACCACAACCAAATAAATACATTTTGTGCAATCTTCGGTGTTTACGTTCTCAGTTTGTATTAAAATCTGCAACTCTGTTTCCGATTACATTAGTGTATCATTACTCTGTGATAAGCAATATGGATAGCATTTTAAACGTAAATATATTTTTGAAACCTTCAGATCTGCCCGATCTATTTTCGTACCCCCAACGGCATTTGCTAATTTAAGATACTTTTGATTTATGGTGATTAATAGTAACAAAAGAACTGGTTGGTGGGGCGTTCAAAGATCACTTCCTGTCTCTGCCCAAGCTCTTCAATTACCTACCTTTGCTCCCATAGGGAGAGAGAGAGAAATGGGGTTTAACGTCCACTTGACACAAACTAGGTCATTTCGGGACTAACATATGGTTTAATTTTATTTACATAATTCGCTTGCGCGTAGGGGTCTTTAGCAGTGGGAGGAAACCGGAGGACCCGGAGAAAACCCACGAGGTTGGACAGGCGACCCTACTCCTTGCCACGTACAACCGGGGATTCGAAACCACGCCAGTCGACTAAATGACTTTATGATACAACGCGCGCACGCTATCCATTCAGCCATCCAACCCCCCTTACATTCATAAAAACGAAAAACGCCAAAACGGAAGGGAATATATCTTCGGATATTTATGTGTGATACCTGTTTCTTCATAGGGCAAGGTAGAGAAAGATTAACCCAAAGTGAAACCAAAGATTCTTGTTGATGCAGAATTGGGAATTTACAGTTTATTTCAATGGCAACGAATACAAAAACATTTTCCGATACGTTTGGGAAAATATATCAGTAACTAAGTAGACCACTAGAAACATAGTCCACAAAGACCTTTTTTTTAGCACAGCTGTTTTTCCAATGAGAAGGTATTACAAATTACACACCCTGTCAACATGAACAAGCCAAGCAGAAATACTAAATGTCTGTAACTTCAATAATTACACTACAAGTCGACATCACAACCTTGGATTCACAACGGGATTCTAATATATAACTTGGTCTAGTTACCATGGCTTCATTTAAAAATCAGACAGACGAACACTAGCAATCGGTAAGCACATAACTTGACACCATATGGCATTTACACCAGTATACGAATTAAAGGATTTTAACGTTCACTACGCATTTAAATGTAAAATCTCGTGTGTTTTTTTTTCGTGCTCCGCAATACCTTTCTTCTCGGCACACAATAGTTACACTGGAGCCGGAACATTTTAGTCGTGTGACTGGTGCTCTAACAACCTATGACATGGGGCTAAAGACACGCCGACTTAATACAGCATAGAAAACCACTGTGGATGAGTATCTATTGATACAAACAAATATGTTGAGAGGGTTCGGATAGTTGGGTGACCCGAGTGATTATGATCCCATGCAAAGAGTATAGGGTTGTCTTCAGTGAAACCTCCTGTATTTCTTCCGGGTTCCCAATTTCCCCTCAACTGCTAAATATTCCTTATTGCTCTATTCATTTTAACCTTGAAATAAACCAAAATGGTTCTAAAAGCAATGTAATATGAATGTATATAATTATGTAAAGTGATGTATGTTCTAATTTTGAAAAGAAATGTATTGTAATTTCAAATCAATTATGTTCGGTGAAATGCGCGAACAGTTGAAATTGAAAGGCAGTCGTTTACACCTGCTTAGTCCATTCTATACGTTTTTTATTATTATTTTGTCATTTGTGAATCAGCCTTTACTAATTACTTCCACATTGTCTTGTAGGATATGTTTTTATTTGTTCATTACAAGCTGGCATTCGAAACCATACAATACACGACTCGTGTGCTGAGCATTAATGTTAATTGTGTCTTATATATTGGATTTTAGGATCCTATATTTTCACGTTAAGATAACAGCACAAACATTGATTGAAATTGTCCAATATCGAATGTCTTTAATTTCCAATATAATAGAGAATATTGAGTTAGATATTTAGCTCCTTTAATTGAAATAAAGATGACCCATTATGTTAGTCCCTAAATGACCTTGTTTTGAATGTGATGAATAGATAAGTAATCTAACCACATATCTCTCTCTCCCTCTTTCCTTCTCTCTCTGTGATACGCTTTGATACGGAAAACATTGTATAATACAGCTTCACTCGACGATTAATAGGGAACGATTGCTGACATACATACATTCTGTATATTGTAAATGGTTAGACGGTAATAAGTTTCGAATTTTGAAACAAACTGATTTGATGAAGTGCTATCGATTTATGGAATATGTCAAACCACATTTAATCAAAAATATTTCGGTTTGACTTATATTAGGTTAGTAAAGGTTTTAAATTGCTTTCGCTTTAGTAAATATTATCTAAAGACAAAATATAAACTGACACTTTGACATTTATTTAGTCAACAGTTCCCATATTAAATATAAAAAAGGCTACACGATTTATCAGTAAAAGGGACATTTTATTATTGATCCCTATAACAAAACTATTGAGGGTTAGGGTTGTGGAAACGGCTATTCAATTAAATAGTAAACTACAGAAAATGATACTCTGTGGTTGCACCTCATTTATATTTTATCCACACAACCAAATTACCCTCTTGCAACCACTTAATGACAAGAGTCTGGCAACCACTTAGTAAAACAAATCACATTTTAATTACATGTATTTGTACTGTAACACTTTCTATAAGACCAGATATCACTTCCCATCTTCTACCTAGTAGCTTCGATATCTGAAAAATACATCCAAACTATTGCTTTGTAATCAGTTATTGGGAATTCAGAGCTTTAAAATCTAGTTTCAGTAATGGTAATGGATAAAACACCAAGAAGAGTGTATTATTGAGGTTTGAAATGAATTTATTACAAGATAATCTATATTTTTATTGGAGAGTATTGACAATAAACGAAAAAAGAAACAATCATCTACGTATTACTTACATGTATATGTCATCCCCAGCAACCAGGTTATCTGTTCTATTTATAATACCATGTACACATAAGCCATAGCTATTAACAACAATACTATTGCCAGGTTTTATATATTCTGATAAGAATTGTATCACCGACATTGTAAGCCCATTTAGTTATCTCGGGTTTAAATGGGACACCCAATGCAAGAAGGCTTCGGAGGATTCTGACTTTCTTCGTGCCTCCCAAATGTTTCATAATTTATCTACATGAACGTTACAAACTACAAGAAGTTAAGGACACACCCCAAAGAAACCTTGGTTCCCTAGCAGTCATAATACTGTAGTGAGTAATGAATGTCGTTACTGGTGACTTCTTTAGACAAAACGTGACATTATATATACTGGTGGTTTCTTTATGCATAACCTGACATTATGTATACTGGTGACTCCGTTTACATAATTAGACAATGTGTATAATGGGAACGTCTTTATACATAATATGACATTATGTATAATGGTGACTTCTTTTTACATAATCTGACATTATGTATAATGGTGACTTATTTATTATACATAATTAGACATTTCTTATAATGGTGAATGCTTTATACATAATTATACATGGCATAAAAGGCACATACATATATTTATAAATGACACAAAGATTATCATGATCAATTTAATTTCCGCTAATCCTACTTGAGAAGATTGTATAGACAAAGCGATGTATAACATAGCGAATTCCTCTATATTTTAAAAGAAATCAATTAGGTTATAACGCACTAAATTGGAATAAATAATCCAGAATAATAAAGATGGAATCTATACAAAATAATAAATATTTCAGTATCTAGAAAGAAATGTAAAAACTAAAATACGTCCAATAGTACTTTCTTTAACTGAAATTAGAATCAAAAAACGTATTTCAGTCACATTTCAACTTATAATTGCCATTTAAAAGCTAATAGTAACAATCTCTTAAAAACCTGAGTCACTAACGATATCTACAAGTGCATATATTTCATCAATGAATTAATTTATAATAACACGTACTGCATTAAAATTTAGTATTACAGTCATTTCCTTTTTGCGATATGTCAAGCAGTTCTAGCTGGTTGAGTGGTAGGGTAGTGGGTTACGAGTTGTGGGGCTGTGACTAGAGACGAAATTCCGAAGTTCAATCGTATATCAATTGGTGTACACGTAAAGGAATCCTGAACAGTTGCAATTCGAAGAAGAGTAAGTGGAAACGCCATTACCCGTCCAAAGTCTTTGCACTCACATTGCACATGTAGGTAATGAATTTGGAATTATCGTATGTTCGTTTAAAAATGATCAACTCATTGTGTTGACAAAATATTAAAACACATTTAGTTCCACTAAAAAGCAAACCGGCATATATAATCCTGAACACGAGTATATTGAACTTTGGTATATTTAACTACATATTATATCATTCATAATAACACAACTTTATGGATTTACTACTTCTAGGTTTATTACATGCAACGTTTCAATACTCTTACAGGTATCTTTATCAAGCAATGATCAATAATGAATAATAACCTATATTTATAGTACATTCATGAGTAAGACAATAAAAACATAACATTAATTAAGAGTTATAACAACAACATTTCCCTTTGAAAATGACTTCACGATCTCTCTTATTAACAGATAAAACGGGGACTGAGGCCACCACCAAGGTTAAATAAAAATCATACTATTAATACCCCTTTAATACTATCAAGTTGTGTTATTATGAATATTATACCTCTACTTCTAAATGTCATTTAAGGATATTATATTATATCATATTAAAATACAGATGTGACGTCATCCTTTGATGATCGCGTGGAATTATTTCAAATAATGGTACGGGCAAATTGCCAATCATACATTATTTATACTAGTGAAATACTGGACTCGCGTGACACATTTCATTGCAAAAGCACGTGCAGAGTGTCTGTATTTTGTTGTTACAATATATAACTTAATGTCTCGCTCTCGACCATTAAACTGTACTTAACAAGTGTAACGCCTATAAAATTTTAAATTCATTTAGTAACCTCGCTAGTCCAGCCTAATATTTCTAAATAATATTAGTGTATATGTCGAAATTCGAGTCAATATGTATTGTTTAATGGTCGAGAGCGAGACATAAGTAATATATTGTAACAACATGAGGGTCGCGAGGCCCGAATGTTTTTTACAATATATTACGCAATGTCTTAAGCTCGAGACCATTAAACAACTTAAAATACAGACACTTGCACGTGCTTTGCAATGAAATACGTCACTCGAGTTCAGTATTTTACCAAGTTACGCTTGGCACATTGCCCGTACGATTATTTGAAATAATGGTACTCCAACATCAAAGGATGACGTCACATCTGTATTTTAAATATATCTAATACAGGTTCGTGGAAATGAAAAATATGATATACGTTTGTTTCAACATACTATGATCCATGCCGGAATTAAAGATACATTATACAAAAGCTAAATCTGCCAATTATATGTTATATAAACTATTATTTTGGCATTTATTCACATGAAAGGCCTGGGCTCAACTCTCTAGAACATGGGATGGCCGAGATTTAAATGGATTTGAAAACCTTTGAGACTTAACATTTAACGATAATCGAAAATGAAATTTAATAATCGAGATTTAAAATTTAACCATAAAATGGACAATCGAGAATGAAATTTTCAATAGATTCATTTTTCATTATCTATTTTTGAACAGCTCTTTTTTTCAAAATCTTATATATTCCGTCTTTAATAATATGTCCTAATATGCACGTGCAACAACCCGTAAATATTCGAACACCAGGCATTACCATTATTGAATCTGTTCTAGACAAGTAACGATCGACTAGACAATCACAGAAGAACAATTTATGGGAATTCTGAAAAAAAGTCAGTTTTAATAAGAATAGTTTCAGACTCCGTGGTATCAGCAGCGGAAGTCCTCGATTATTAATGAAATACAAAAAAAAGAAAAAATATGTCAAGTCGTAGATTTTCCATGCAAGATATTTAAATGCGGTATGTATGATATGAATCGAAGACTAAACCTATGTATTATAATCATTAAATTCAACATAAATGTACTTGATGTTTTAGAAAGATTGCACATTTGTAAACGACGTAAACCTGTTCAAATATCTTATCTTCTCAGTGGTGTGTATAGGGGTTGAAAGTATTGCCTTGTACAGTGGTGTGCATACAGTCCTATTTTATTTAAATGGAAAGTTTATTATTTTGTAATTGCTAATTTCTTCCTTTCTCATATTTGTCTAAGCACCTGGCCCTATACTTGAGTCTTCGGGGCAATGGTGTACAAGCCTTCCTATTTAATTTGAATATAAATTGTATTTCATAAATTTCTCCGTTTCTCATCAAGATCTGACCCTATACTTGAGTACTGGGAGTATAAAATTTAGGGGACATCACTAAGTTTCTGAACGCCCCTCTATCTTCTTAAGAGTACCCGTCATTAGCCCAGTGGGAGCAGAACAGTAGAACTTTAAACCCCATTTCATTTTTTGTATGTTAACCTATAAATAATCTTAATCTGAAATACGTTTACAATTATAATAAGATATCCAATAAAATATAAGTAATGAATGCTAAATCAAAGCAGGAAAGTAATATATATATATATATATATATATATATGTATCCCCTTTTTTGTTCAGCGACTTTTGTAATTCCATCTCTACTTCCATATGATCTCAAATAATCACATCATGCACACACTACACAAACATCAACTTGACAATAATCACAATTCAGGTCACTGGCACCATAAACTTGGCGTTTACATAAAATCTGTCCCCTCTCCACACACATTTAATTTGTATTAGGCTGTTATATCCATCATTTTGAATGTATATCCATTTTCACTTTTTGAATTTAACCATGTTTTAGTAAAACGCAAAATATTATTATTGATTAATCCAACATGGTTAAGTTTATCGAATATGTCGATGCACTTCATGTTTAGAATCATTCAAGAATATCACTTTAGTTTTTCCTTCGCTTCCTTGGCTTCCTTGGCCTCACGAGCCTCCACAAAACCGTTCGCCAGGGTATTTAAGATAAACGTTATTGCGATACTATATATTTTTTCAATAGATTCATTGCTTCGATCCTCCAGCGTGATCTTGACAGCATCCAAAAAGGGTTCTTTTATATTCTGAAAATATAAAAACAAATATTAAAACCCTGAAGCAATATTAGTCTAGATTTAGCAAGACAATTGTATTGTATGTCGCATTGTGATGATTTGTCTCATTGGATAAAAAGAACAAAATCTGTTTTCTTTAACCTCTTTCATACTAGATCCTCGGGAGACGCGATGTCTCAGTGTGTAAGGTGATGCTTCACTAACCAGGAGGTTCAAGGTTAGATCCCAATGTTGACAGAGGACGTCCCCCTTGTCAGTGATGCAAGGCGGGGGATCTGGCAAGGACGGGTGTCTAGTCGTTCGATAAAAACCCTAGATTTTGTGTGCTTATTTACGTGCACATAAACGAAACCCTGAATTCAATAGCTGTCCGGGAACAATGCCCCCCATAGCAAACAGCGTGGCCTATGTCCGTTTTCATTAGTTCCGTTGTTTTATTATTCATACGTTCTAAATTTCGCCAGTACGATAAACTAAATGGCAAATATAGATATACACCGTGCCTAGTCTACTATTAATAGAAAATTCAGGTTATTTTAATCGAACTTTAGGTAATAACAAACGTAGAAAATCAATATACATAATCACTGAGAATGCAATTGTGTATTTAAATAAAATGTTGCTAGCTATAGATCCCGGCAGTTCCTCGTCTGATCTTTAAGTATCAATTTGCTTCTAATAGCCGAGAGATAATACTACATATCATTGAATATATTCACCAAAGCCTAATTGACAATAACATCAGAAGAAATTCTGGTGATTCAAAGACAAGCAGATAATGTAACCTTTCTGGTAATGGTAACAATAACACAAATGAAATCAAATTACTGACAGATTCGATCCAATTAAGATAGCGTTCCCGAAAGTACAGTATTAGACGTTCACGAAATAACGAAAAAATCCTGATCGGTAATCGGATGGGGCTTTTATTTTAGGTTGGGGTTGGGGTTTGGTGGCGTGCGATTTGAACTATAAGGGGTTCCATTCCCCATTTGTACGCGAAAAGGAGAGGGTCGCCAGTCCAAGTTCACGAGTGTTCTACGGGTCCTCTGGTTTCCTCCCAGTGCTAAAGACGCCATCGAATTATGGATACAAACCATCCATCAAAATAGCAAATAACAATACGGAACACTATTTCCAAGATAATCTAAGGCAAACCTGCTATCAAAGAAGGAATCGCTGAACATAAGTACATGCATGCTCATTTGGCATCAAATGAGCCAAACGTTTTAAGGAGCTAGGTCTCTTACTCAGTATTTTTCATAATAGTTGAAATTATAACACAATTTAGAATTCGATATTGGTCCATTTCAATCCATATTGAGGTTTTTATGTTGCCGTTAATCTGTGGGATCCTAATATCCAATATTTAAGACACAATGAACGGTTTAAAATATGGTACTTGATTCGTGTACCATACAGTTTCATAATTAATGAAGAAAGAAAAATGTATCCTAAATTACAATGCGACAGATGATAAAATAATAAAAACATATTTAGAACGGACGAAGCAGTCGTAAACGACTGTTGGTCAGTTTGGACAGTTCACGTATTTCACCGAAAATAATTGATTAGAAATTACAATTTTTGTTTTTAAAAATTGAATATAAATCACTTTATATACACTTTTATATACATTACCAATCTGATTAAAATACAGATCTATATTTAGTTTCGTTTTTAATACTTTCGTTGGCCTACACTACATGAAGATCTGACAAGTTATAGTGATGTCAAAAGACCGACTTTCGACCTATGACGTCAGACATTTGATTGACCAATCAGCATTAATGTTACTAGTGGATTAACCACAGTTCCGGGCAAAAAAAGGTCAAACACTCGATTTCAAGCAGAACACGAGTTAAATAACAAGTCTTCCAGATCCAAGTGTAGTAAAGACAAGTAAAACGAAATTTTGAACTATAAAAACGAAACGAAATAGGATCTATGTTTTAACCAGATTGATACATTACATTAATATGTGCTTTTAGAGACATGTATGGTCCCAAAAATAGAGCCATATACGCCCTTTAATTGAATAATGCATGGACCGGTCTGCATCTTGGTGTCGCTTTCTTAAAACCATGTGTGACATGAAACCAGGAGTTTGGTACGTGTGTTATTCTGAATAAGAAAGTGGGAATGTGCAGCCATTTGAGTTGCCCATGATTTACGTTGCTTGTAAACGAACACATACCGAAATCTTATTTATAGCATTTTGGTAGAACTGAAGGACAACAAGAAAAATATTCATAAAAACAATTCGCTTTAGAGAACAATACTTGCATCCATCGAGTTATACGAGTTTGCATTGTCATTAGCTCAGTGGAGTCCGTGAACACGTGGGCGTGCACGTAAAAGAACCCCTGCCATTTTGAATTCAATTTCTATCCGGGCAAAAATATTTTCCTCGTGGACACTCTATGGTGTCATTATGTCGGTTGGTGCACTAAAGTAGGATGTAAAATCCCATACCCTTTATTCATCCATTCACATTTAACGTTTAGTTACGTTTCTTGGACACCGGAAATGTAATACGTTTTTGGTTATGTTGACATTGGCTAAGCGAGTAAGACACTGGCTCACTAGCCTGGAGGTTGCAGGTTCGCTTCCGGTGTTGGCCAAGAAGTTCATCGGGATTTCCCGGCGTTGCTTGTACACATTGGCATGCACGTAAATAAGAGTAGGCCGTAGCGCAGTTGTCCGGGCAAAATTACCCTCATGGCACATTGTATGGTTGTGTCGCGTATTATAATATAGGATATGCTTTTATATCTAGGTTACATGTATTGACTTCATAGTTTTTTGGAGATATTACACAGCAAACGATCTGTGTCGTGTTTTTGTATTTAAAACATAGACAATACCGATTCGCATGAATAGCCATTCAATTAAAAGTACAGGATTATGGTCGCTTTCTTGTGGGACTTATTCACTCGTAATTCAAACGATATTACAAGTCAGCAGTCTGGAGATCTCTTGTTGTAATGAAGTTGTTAGACGCCAGAGACATCTGCGGTGTTAGATATAGCAACAAAATATAGCTGGAAGACATCATTAACTAAAGTGACATCTTGTGGCGTTCTGGTTTATTACTCGATTTTAGCGAAAAAAATGTATCAAGCAGACACACAAGGGACAAATGAAGGCTCATGGGACTGTCCATTGTCACTCAATAACATTCTGTCATGCCTCGAGCTGGTATAATGAACGCCTATATAAAAGCGCCAGGGAGGAATGGATAATTTACGTTATTGAACGCAGAATTGTGGTTCGATAAAGTCATTACGGAATGCGGCCACATCCCTTCTTTCCTGGTAACGGAGACGTGATTATCAGGTTCATTCACTGTGTGTGGAGAAAACGAAGCACGAGTGCCTCATCTTGGGTATCCTCATTTGCACAACTCAGTGGAAATCAATCAATAACAACGATGAACTGATATGATCAGTTTATCTGCTACGTTTGTTTTGTCTGCTAATGACGGGGTGAATTATTTTCAAAGCTTTTGTTAACGAGATTGCTACACGTTTTTGAATTTTACATATTGTTTCATCTATATCTTAAGACTGATAAGCAGTCGTCTACATCGACGATATTATGAGCATACATACATCTCTCAATAATTCACTTCGAATGTTTTGGGTGTTAGAGTCGTGTAATTTTACGTTAACATCTTCACCTGCTTAATTCATCAATTTTGTTCACAAATTTGGCGCCATTGCAAAATGACACAAGCATCTATGAAGAAACAGATAGTTTAATGGTTAAAACTGGATTTAAAATTATGTAATGTGTCGAAGATTATATGGACTTTTCAGTAGCGGAAGCATGATATTTGGATAGAGGGAGCTCGGTGGTCTTCCGGGGCAGATTTTGAAAACTAGAGGTGCCAAAGGTGATTTGTGTCGCATCTGAGTCAGAACATAACATTCAAATTTATCAACTACACCACCACAACCAACAAAGCACTCCAATTGTTTTGCATTCATTTATAGGACCCGTATCCCTTGGACCCCCAACTGGATCCACCTCTGGGAGCTTTTCTGTGAGCAAATAAACTTAAACCAGACGTTTGACTTATTTAAGAGACCTTCAGAAGACCCTGCACAATTAAACCGGCCAATCGATGATGCTCACAAACAATGTTCATTATCCCTCCCACGTCGACTAATTATTAATGAAGATAAAATACAATTATACTAATATTCCAAATGTGAATATATTAATCAATTGGTATATTAGTAAACCTAATATAAATAACAATAGACTAGTAACAGATCTGACCTACATAGTATGTTGGCATGGACAATAAATGTACACAGAATTATGCTAATGCAAATCAGTGCCCCCGAGATAATTTTTATGCGCCAGAGCAAGAAAAATATCGCCCACCCCTCCCACACCTGTGGATATATGGTTTCTAATTTTACCTCTGCAGAGCACGAGTAGAGCATCGGCACGAATATCGACCCTGCCGAAGTAACACAAATGATATACATATGCATAGGCCCTTAGGATATCATGGGCCCCGGAGCAATGTACCGGCTGCACCCCTACCTCTCCTAGGGTCTTGTGTTAAACATACATTATGCCAATCTGTTTCACAGAGGATTACGAAAGTCTTCTAATATCTCTGTAAAAGATGACTACCTCCAACACGTGACTTTTCATCAAGCGGCGTCAATCATTGGCTCAATGGCGCGTGCATTGTTTACATAAGACCTTACTGGTTCGGGCGGAATGGAGCCTTTTACTCATTTTAATACCCATTTACACAAAATAGGAAATAATTTTTTACCTCCAAATACGTCATACGTCTTTACTTATTTTTCTTATACATAAAAAAAAATGTTTTAGAAAAGTTAATATTTGTGGCTCATTAATCGCATCGATGTCATCCTTATCAGTGATTGTCGCGGCCTAGCGAATATTCACTGCGGATCAGTGTGATATTATGCAAGAGCTAAATCCGCTCAATGCAGGTCTTCCTTTAGGCCTGAAATGTT